GTGCTCCAATCATAATTGCGGTTGTTGCGGCTGAATATATCAATCTCGTCGATGTCGCATATGATTTGATTGATCCACTCCCCTCGCTCGATATGTAATGGACGTCCTAAGCTCCCCTCGGCACTGCCAAACAGTCGCCTTTGTCCACCCAAGGTGATGGAGATGCCAACTAAGAACATATTTTGCGAAGGATCGTGTCGCCAATACGTGTCGAGGACGCAGGGCCGATGACCAATCTCATACCATGCGTGAATGAGCTGTGCAGAAGTGGTCTCCGAGTCATTGGGTGACGGGTACATTGTCATAGGTGTGGACAAGCACACGGAGGCCTTCAAAATCGCCTTCGCTTCCTCTGAATCTTCTGGTTCAGCGGGCTCGACCGAGGCTACTAATCTCTTATAAAGCGAGGCTAGTGGTTGACAACACTCCCAGATTCTGCGTCGGTTCGCTATGTGCATAAGCGGTCCCTGATTCCCGATATCGGGATGGGTCAGTGCATCAGACCAAAGAAAGAGGCTTTTGTAATCGGTTGCGTCGGTGCTGGTATTCTCGACGAAATGACCGAGTTCGTTGAACCATGGCAAGATACGAACGTGTATCATGTGTTGCCAGAAGGCAGCTTCACGCGTGTAGCTGTTGACGTGGTAAGAAGCTTTCATGAATGATAGCATGTCCTTTGTGTCCATGTACCCAATAATTTCAAGGAGAATATCGTATGGGAGAATTCGAGTCGGGTCGCTACGCACTTTGTTCGATAAGTCCAAGACCTCCGTAGCTCTACTCAGAATAGAGCCGGATAACAACTCTGGAATCTTTTCTCTGAGAGAGGGTCGAGGACCGGGATCATATACCGCGTACTCCTCGCCTGGGACATTTACCCAGAATTGTTGATGTGCCATGCTATACCCATAGTTCAAGTCCAGAACCGGTCTTTCATCGACCAGGTGGGCTCTCATAACCTCCCACATCACATCCTTGTTGACTTCTTGTCCCTTTTTAAGTCCCACGCTGTTGGCGAGAATGTTGAAGCAAGCCTCGTGGAAAGGAAAAGCCATGTTCTCCTCCCCATCGGAGTACGCCGTGAGGTTCAACGAAAATTCACCAGGATCGTTCGGATCTCGTCCAGGTTTCTTGACATCAAACCCGCCGAGTCCTCCGTAACGACCTCTGCCAGAAACATAGGCTTTGGGATTGTCACAGTCAGATTCACGATTGAGAGCCAGTGCGCGGCTCCGATAGATCCAAAGCAAGTCTTCTCGCGAGATCAATCTAGGATCGAAGCTGTCCTCCTCTTCCCAGTCGTCAACATTGTTTAGAAGGACCTCATCGAGCTCAAACGATAAGTCAGAAGTTTGTGACCAACTATCACTGTCTCTTTCTTCCGTAGGCTCGGGCTCGGGGGTGCGGGGTCGCATAGCCACATCTGTAATCTCAGTTACTCCCGCAAGCAGGTCGAAGTCGTTGGTGTCGATAGACTCTGTATCTTCAGAATACTCAGAATTCGAGGTTCCGTGCTCATCCTCAAAGTCAGAGCCTGTATCATCTTCGGCTTGTTCTTGCAGTTCATTGAGCCGCTTCTTGATGACTTCGTCGTCAGGTGCATCTTCCGCTCCGCTGTCATCATCTTCGCTTCCGGCTCCCGACGAGCAAGAGTTCTCTTCAGCACTCGTGTCAGCTAGCCTCCCCGTTGCTATCCCAACATTGCGATCCCTCTTGCGCAGATTCTTTTCCTTCATCGAACCAATTCTGACAGCCTCGATATCTAACGTGCCCGCACACAAGATACAGTAACAGTCGAAGGAGCCCATGATAGACAGGTAAGGCTCTGGAAAAAAGTGAGATCCTGGATACTTCGAATCGAAGGGTGAAGTGGTCAATTAGAGTAGAAGTGTTAGGGGTTATATTAGCCAAGCACGGTTAGCGCGCCGCCACTATCTTCATTATACCCGAAAGCGTGACTGCAGCCTTACGATCCCAGACATGATTTAGGCATCACACGGCAAGATCCGCAACGTCCACAACCATCAACAACGGGCTACCCACAAGACATTATGAGATGGACAGGGGGATGATTCGGAAAGCACAACAAAGACAGCTTCAGGACGGGATGCAGGTTGAAAAGCATCCACCGCCGCAGCGCTTCTTGGATTCTTTCGATTCAACAACTCTATAAAATAGGATCGTGAGCATTAATCACAGTATACAAGACAAAAGACAGAACATGACACCGGATTATGGGTAGGATAGGCATCTATGACAGCCCTCCAGAGAAAAGAGAACTCACGATTGTGCATCATGGAATTCATCCTCCTGCTGCGTCTCACTATCTGTCCTCCGTAGAAGGTCGTCTTTTCGTGGCTCTGGCTCTGGGTTTGAATTAAGGAGTTTGCTCGGCGGCAGTTCACGCGAGATGACCTCCCGGTTCTCGGGTGAGATGGTAGTGGGTTGCGGCATGGGCTTTTGGAGAGGTATCGTTGGAGGGTTGCTAGGATCGTTGGGGTTGCTGCTGTTTTTGGAAAGCGGAGCATGAGTGGTTGTTGTTCCGTCGAAGTTGCTGGGAAGACCTACGCTCGAATCTTGTTGTCCTGGCATGACTGCTGGCTGTGACTGCACAATTGGGGGTTCGGATGGCACGGGCTGCAATGTTTCCGTAGGTGCTGGTTGTGCGGCCTCTTGTGGCTGCGGTGGTGGTGCATCATTTGCCCGCGAGGGAATGTTGAACTGCTTTTCTGGCTTTTGACCGGGCAAGATGGCATATATCTGCAGGATTTGTTTGACGACCTCATCGGGGGTCTTGCCATCACTGAATTTTGTCAGCACTTATTGCATACCCAGGGACGATGAGTACTGACATCTTGGCGTTGATGATCCAGTCAAGGTCTTCTTCGCCTTCCTCAGGACCGCCATGACCACCCTTTACGCGTCTGAAAAGCTGTGGGTGCCAGTCCACGCCCTCGCTGTTTCGTTTCGCAGCTTCCTGCCTCTGCATGTCTTCGATCTTAGCCTTAGCATCGGTTGCTACATCCTGATCTCTCCGTTTTACAGCCTCGCACACATCATGCCAGAGCTTTTGCGATTCGCGGTCGTTTTGTTCTTCCAGAGGTCGAGCCGATGGTGGGGTGTGTTTAGTATGTGCTGCATCGAAAAGTAGCTCTTTCTTGCCAGTCTATGAAAAATCAGCACATATGCGAACAATGAAGCAACCGAGACCTACCGTCAAGTCCTTGATGTACATCTCCTCGTTCCACTGGCCCGAGAGTTCGTACAAGTTCTTCCCGCTAGAGTCTTTGATGTAACCACCAATGGCGTTGTATGTTCCACTGAAATAACCCTTGGTCTTGAATTCGAGATCAGCAGTTAGTCCTGTCTCAGGGCACCGGATGTATGCGTGGTCGCCAAGTTCGTACTTCATCGTGCCGAATAGTATTCCGCGCGCGTACATGTTGGGTTGTGTAACGAAGCTGACTGTAGTGAGCTTCGAGACGTGTGATATCTGGGCTCGACTTACAATCGTTCGCCGGTGTTCAGCAGCCGCAGGACTGCAATACCCTCCATCATACTCGCGGCTGAGTTACCCAGGAACTTGCTTCGGGGCTTGAGGGTACCGTCGATGCGGATGTTGTGCTCGGGTGCCATGAAGAAGTAGCTCGACTTGGGCGGGTGGTGCGACGTTTGTTCGGAGATGTAGTAGCCCTTGGTACCGTCCGGGTAGTCCCAGTAACCTGTGAAGATCTCACCCAGGATGGGATTGAGCGGCTTCTTGACTCCCCTAACTCACATCAGTTGTTGCTTATGGGCGCGGGAACACAATGGATATGCATACGGGGGCTTGATGTGCCAACCACTCAGGTAAAACTTTGTCACTGCTACGAATCGCTGCACTGGGTCGTCGACCTTGGTAATGGGGAGGAGTGTCTCGGGGTGTGCCATGAAGCTACCCAACGGTCAGCACTGCGACATGGTCATACGTAGTACGTGTAGGAGTACTACACACTTTGTTATGCGCTCCAACATCGATCGCGGCTCGAGAATAAAGGTGGGAAGCGTCACGCGGCTCAAGTCGGCACCAGGTCGCAGTTGCGATATGATGTGAGAGAGCATGTTCCCCTGCTCTGAGTCCATGACAGTCTCGTCCTCCTTGGTAGTTTCGTCGCCGCCATCGTGTCGTCGTGTCTCGTCTATAGAGGATCCGCGGCTACCTAGAAATTTGGGCATGTATCAGCCTCAATTCGTGCTGGAATAGAGTCGGAAGAGTCGGTACGACCGGAACAAGGGACATGACGCACTGTTGACCGACGACCGGCGGTGCTTGGAGACTATAGGGAGATGCGGCATCGTGGTTGTTCGCCGCAAAAATAAGAGAGAAGGAGAAGAGGGAGGAGCAAGTCTTGGAGGCGAGGTGGCTAGGACCAGGCAGCCAGGTATCGGCAGAGGTTGTCTTGGTGCTTCGGGTGCCGGCGAGAGTGAGCTCTAGTCTCAGCAATGACGATGGGCGCTTCACAAAAACTAGCGACCCCGCGCGTTGAACTTGTTTGGCGGCAAAGTGTAAACATCAACAACGCTCGACCGTGGAAAGAGCATGCAATGAGAGGACTCAAAGGCCAGGCGACATGGCATACAGTCTTTTGCGCATTCATGTGACTTGCCCTAATATAGAGATCGCCAGGCTGTGTTTCTGCACGTCTGCTGCCCCGCAGTCGGCACATGCCAGTGCACCATACGAAGTACGCGACACGCGCATGCGGCACGGCTCGGAGCAGTCTTTGTTTCCGAATACTCTCTACCTGCGATTCCAGGAACAGTGGCTTGACATGGAGTGGATCCCGGGCCGCTTGTTTCTTCGACGTGGACAAAGTACCCGGTTCTAGTACGCGTCTGCATTCCGAGTGCGCCGGCGCTGAGAACTAGGAAATCATGACCTCGATGCTCCCTCAAATCACATGCTGTCCTGTAATATACGCGCTATCTGAAATTCGCCATTCGTCTATGGAGTGCTGGGTCTAGTCCAACACGCTCTCGCCAGCCTTCCCTGCGTCTTTCGCGTCCTGGTCCTGCGTCCGCTGCGCTTGCTCCTTGACCTTCCGCATTTGCGCGTCGTTCTTACCTATGACCGTGACTCCGGTCTTCTCGTATTCCTTGTGAACCTGTTCCATCGCTGACGGATCCACCGCCTTCGTCGCGTCGCCCACCACCCACGTTTGGAAGCCCTCCTTCTGTGCATCAATCGCAGTGAACTTCACGCAGTAGTCGGCTGCAAGGCCTACTACGTAGACGTCGGTGATTCCAGCCTTGCGCAGTGTGTCTGCGAGATTGCTCTTGGCCACATGACTCTTGAACGGATCCGCAAATGCAGAGTACATCTCCACGCGCTTGTCCTGGCCCTTCTCGACTACATGGTCCACTTTACTGACGTGGAGCTCGGGCAGCAGCTCAGAGCCTTTTGTTCCCTGCACACAATGGTCGGGCCATAGTCGTGTTTCTTGCGTTTCGTCTGGGTTCTCTGGGTTTTTGATGACGAACGTCGATTCGAAGGGTTTGTTGTTCGGCGCGGAGTGATTCGATGCGAACGAGATGTGATCTTGGGGATGGAAGTCTTTGGTCGCAACTTTGAGAACAAACGGATACGTAAGGAACTCGTTGATTGTGGGTACGATGTCGCGTCCACCTGTCACTGCCAGTGCCCCGTTCTGGACTTATCAGTATGAGGCCGTCTCACCACACATGACCACTCACTGGTGGGCAGAAGTCTTCCTGCACGTCGACGATGACGAGTGCTGGTTTGAAGGCCATGGTTGATTAGCTGTTCGGAAAGAGGTAAATAGGTGTCAGCGGGAGGATCTGTTTAGCAGTTGGTGGGAGTAAGAGGTCTCGAGGTTAGCAAAGATAACGCAGTCGCACAAGACACCTTTATAAGGATTCTTGAACGTCTAAGATCAAAGTAGCGCAGTCAATAGTGCTGCATACATATGCTGTAATGCCCGTGCAAGCTGTTCAGGAAGGAGCAGTTGATGAATCAACGACTCTCAGGTGTGGCAGCCAATGCAGCGTTCTGTGGCATGACTTACCTAATCGCAGCGCCAAGCCTCTGCCGTCGGCTCGTCAATTCACGACTGAAGAACATCACCAGCTCGATAACCACGCCCACCCTCTCCACTCCACCCAATCGTTCCCGCCATGTTCGTCCAGCGCTCTGCTATCGCCGCAGCAAGGCGTGCGGCCCCCCGCGCCATTGCGACCCGCCGCACCTTCACCACCACCTTTGCTCGCTGTATGTCTCGCGAGGAGCTATCGTACGATGTGCCATTGACACCATAGCAGGGGAGTCCACCGAGAGCAAGGAGGCCAAGGAGAGCAACATTGCGCAGAAGGAGACCGGCCACTCGGCCGACTCCCCCAGCGTCCTTGCCGGCTTCAAGAAGCTCGACCGTACGTTGCGCCCGCACCTCGTCATCCGCACCGCCGCGGCTACGACAGGCCGAAACCATCAATTGCTGACGAGGCCAATTCTGTAGAAATCAAGTCCGAGGCCGACCTTCTGCCCCCCGGTGCGCAGCCCGGTACCGTCCCCACGGATGCCGAGCAGGCGACCGGTCTTGAGCGTCTCGAAATTCTCGGAAAGATGCAGGGTATTGACATCTTCGACATGAGGCCATTGGACGCCAGCCGTCTCGGTACGTGATTCTACTCCCCGGAAGATGAAGGAACATGCGTGTTGCGCAGTTTTAGGCTCCCGGTGGTGTGATATGATGCTGATAAACCGCAGGCACGATGGAGGACCCCATCACCGTCAACTCCGCTGGTAACGAGCAGTACGTTGGTTGCACTGGTTTCCCCGCCGACTCTCACAACGTCCTCTGGATCACTCTTACCCGCGAGGAGCCCAAGTCCCGCTGCATGGAGTGTGGATCCGTCTACGAGATGAAGTACGTTGGTCCTGCAGACGACGCTCACGGCCACGACGACCACCACCACGACTTGAACCAATACCCCAGGCCCAAGAACATGGCCGACTTCCTCAAGCCCGAATACATGGAGGTTTAAGCTTTGGTGCTTTTGTCATAGATTATGGAGTGTAGATATATCTATATGGTCGCGAAGACCTGTGGCATAGCTGGAGAGAAGTTTCTTTGAGTTGAATCGTGTGTTCTACTCATACGTCTGTGGTGCTCGTATACTGTCGTCTCATCATCTCTCATACGATCCCATCCCTTTTCACGACCCTTTCAGGGCAATAATACCCAGAACAATGCTTTCAATGTCCTTCTTTTCCTCCGCTTTCCTCCTCTCTACGTCACCACCATCCCCGTTAACTGCGCCTTTCTTACCCTTCTTCCCACCATCTCCACCCAATTTGTACGCCTTCCTCACCTTGTCAACATCACACCACATACCCAACTCCTCCCCTGTCTCTCCCAACTCAACACTAGTTCCCTCTACCGCACTTCCCAAATGCAAACTTACGCTCTCATTCGTGATGCTCTCATCCTTTTCGTAAGTAGACTTTTCATCTGTTGACGCAGTGGATGATGGAGACAAAGGTAGTTTAACGGCAATGAGCGCGGTGGTGGTATCGGCGATGCCAAATTTCTTGTAGGATTCTCCGATATTGTTGTTGGGTGAGAGGCGAAAAACTAGTTCGGAATGGGGAGTTCGCGTTTTTGCGCGGTGGGTTAAGTGGCCGTGGAGGGCGAGGAAGGTGGCAGAGAGGAGATGATGGGGTGTGAGTGTCTAGGGGGCAAATGTGTTAATATCATGTTGAGGTGCTCAAATTAGTGCTGAGATGAGACAGAGTATCTAGCTAGCTTGACCAGAAGCCACAATGCTTCGCTCCAGCATATCTATCCATGTTGATACGAGGATAAAATATTCCACACCCCGTAGGATCCTATCACAAGAAAATAATTAAAGTTCAAGATTGCATCTCAGATGACTCAGCGACCCTGGCATGTCATTGCGGGGGGTGGCTGGCATCATCGTTGATGGAAAAGTGATGCTGGTAACGAGAAAAAGCAATGAACAGGTAGTGAACCATGACCTACCATGGATGCATCCAAGAAGGCATAGTCGTAGTCTGGATTGGCCTCGAGTAATTGACGCCTCAGGAAGGGGGCGTTTTTGACATCCTTGAAAAGAGCCACGTGGACAGGGTAGGCCTCGTAGTGCGGCAATGAGAAGGTTCGCACGGACGCCATGAGGTGCCTTGTGTGTTGGCGTGATTTTGATGTGGGTGTAAGTTTGGGTGTTGATATGCACCAGGTCGGAGTCGGAACCTAGTCGGAAATGGAAGGCCTAGACGAGGGGCTCGGCCGTTTGGAATGTTTCGTTGGTTGCGTGGTAGCGGTGACAGTGTTGGATGACGGTAGCTGTGATGTCCCTCTAGATGATGCTAGGCGGTTCGTCAGACCGATTTGCATTGGCAATCTCCAAGGATACCAGATCGTGGGTGAGTCTAAAGCTTGAGGGCCGCTTTGGGCAGGAGCGGGGACGGCCAAGCTATGAGTTAGTCCCAGAGAAAGCAGAACCTATGGCGAATCAGGACGGATCATCGTGTCGATCGGGAGCAGAACAAACTAAATTCGCCGAATATGTCAGGGCAGGCACCGTCACAGCCGTCTGGAGGTCAAGGTTTCAAGGCAGTGTGTGGCCAATAAAGGACGGACTGGAGTCGATAGCTGAGGGTTCGCGGAGAATGGGCCTGTTCCCTAGCAGGCATCGCCGAGAAACGCGCTTTCAATCGCACCCTTTCACTCCCAGCGCAGCCAAACCTCACCTCTTCCTTCACTCTCTTCGCAGACCGGACTACAGACTGCTTCAGAGGTCGCGCTGGATCGCCGCGACGCTCAATTCCCCCGCAGCCAGAAAACTCGAGGCTAAAAGTCATGTTTCTTTCGTTTGACAGGTGATAGTCGCAAGCCACCCGAGGCGCACCACCTTTGCTGGGTTTACTTGCATCGGTCTTCTCCATCGGCATTTCCCGTCTCGTTCCTGTTTCGACGTGCATTACGAAAAGTATGGCCACCAAGCGACCCCCGGACGATGACCCCAATCTTGTCTCCAAGATCCAGCGAATCGAGCATCAAGACCCGCTGAGTCCACAACACCGCCCGTCCAACAACAATGACTTTTCCGGCTCGGTCAAGAAGAAGCTCGCCGACTCCAAGCGGACGGGTCAGGCGTGCGATCGGTGCAAGGTACGTCTTACACATTGCAACGGGGGAGATGGAGATGGATGCTTCACCAAGTCAATGGGGCAAGTCGCATCGCACAAGCATTTCGTCGCCCCTGCGACGTCATCGCGACGCGCCTTCCTCTTACATGTCGTCCAGCAAACAAACAAACTAACAACAACCACAGGTGCGCAAGATCCGCTGCGACGGCCGACCCGAAGGATGCACACCATGCGAGCAGAACAGGACGCCATGTCGCACCACCGACCGAATCACCGGACGCGCCACAGTACGCGGCCACGCGGAGGCCATGGAGTCGGAGAACTCGTACCTGCGCGCCCACATCGCTGACCTCCAGGCCCAGCTGAAGGAAAACCATATCGAACCCCGCGCGCCACCTGCCTACAACGCCTTGCAACCACCCAGTCATCCATGGTCTTCAGCCTCCAACGACGGCCAAGCTTGGAACGATGGACCGCGGCGGACAAGCACCTCCCCACTACCAGGCTACGTCCCTGCTGGCACTCCAGTCAAGATCGAATCTCTGCCTCAATTCAAGCACGGTTCTATTGGCGACAACTACCTCGGCGTTGCGGCTGGAGATGCACTCCTGAGCCACATCAAGGGCACATCACTGTCAATCTTCGGCACCGAGATCAACATCACAGACTTCATGACGGGCGAGGCTGAGTATGAAAGCTCTCCCATGTCCTACACAACCCTGGTCAACGTCACTATTGGCGGTCAACATGTCGAGGAGCCGCCACTACCGGCATACGGCGAGCTGCAAGAGTACGCCATCTGGTATCTACGGTCGCTAAACCCCTACACAATGTTTGTACACAAGCCTGCCTTTATGGAACTGGTACGATACGCTCCTGCTGCCACACGTCATCATGCTAACGCACACAGAACTGGAGATTTGGCAATGACCCCAGCTTCGTCCCTTCTGCGCCCGAGATTGTAGCTGTACATTTGATGCTCGCGACCATTACCTACCAGATTGCGACCCGCAACAACCAACAGAGTGGTAGCACTATGCTAGACGACTCGCATGCCCATTACCTTTACGCGGCGAGCTTCTACAAGGAGCTTATCCGTGGCAATCACGGCTGGCAAGATGTCCAAGCCCTGGGTATGATATGCCACCATCTTCGAAACTTTCCAAAGCCTGGTGCAGCATGGATCATGACTTCGACTGTCTATCTATTCGCAGTACAACTTGGCCTACACAGATCTGTCAAGGTCTGGGCCGACGGCGCAGGGGAACTGACCAAGCTGGATATTGAGATGAGAAAGCGAGTCTACTGGACCGTACACGCGCTACTTGTCAATCTGAACGGGAAACTTGGACGGCCTATACCCATTAGCAGAGATGACATCGACGTCGAATTCCCAGAACCCATGAATGACTGCCTTCCTGGCGAAGGAGCCAAGCTGGACTCGTTTCACCAATGCTCGTTTCAAGTGGGTATTCAAGTTGCCAAATACACCGTCTGGGAGATGGAACTCTACAAGACTATCTATGCTGTGCGGCACTCGCCAAAAGCATACGTGGAGAGCCTGAAACGCCTTGAAGTCGGCATACAGCAATGGAAAGAGGAAATCCCCTACGAGTTGCGC